GCCGCCCCCGGAACGTGGCTGCGCCAGGCCCTCCCGCTCAGCTCTGGCAAGAGCCGCCCAGCACCTGCCGAGTTCCGCGCCCAGCTCGACCCCGCCTTCGTCAAGACTTACGAGGACATCAAGGAGAACCTGGAATCCCGGCGCTTCCAGGTGGTGGACGCCCGCGCCGCCGGCCGGTTCCGCGGCACTGAGCCAGAGCCCCGAGACGGTAACCTGGGAAAGGGGCCTGTGCGGGGCACTACCTGAGCCATGCCTTTGCCCTCGAAGGGCACCCCGGGGTGGGGGGAGGTTTGGCGTCTAGCTGCCTGGCCCTCTGCGCCCCACTCGCTATTCCGTGCAATGGACCGATAATAATGTCCCCAGCCCTCACCCCGATACTGTGGGGGAATGGGGTCACTGGAGTGGTGGGAGCAGGCCTCAGTTTAAAAAGGGGGGGGGGATGGGCTTTAGTCAGGTCGACTCTCCAGACCTGGAGAATGGCGGGGTGGAGGAAGAGAGAAGAGGAGTTTGAGGTTACAGAAGGGCCCCGCTTGCCGCGACCCCAAGTCTGGGCGGAGCTTCTGCCTGTGGGCTGGATCTCCCCTAGACAAGAAGCCTGTAGGAACACTCGGTGCTGCAGGGAGGGGTCCCTGCAAAGCAGGCTGGCCACTGGCCTCGCTGCTGTGAAGCAGGTCCTGTCTACAAGAGGAAATGGAGCCTTAGAATGGCCACCTTGCCCAAGGCTCAGGAAGCAGCCCCCGCCCACCAGATTCGAACTCTAGACTTACAGACTTAACTGCAGTGGTTTCCCCAGCCGTTTTTCCTGGGCCTGCAAGGATGCACAGAACTGGCCACTTCTCCTGGGGAGCTCTCTGACTGGCGTGCCCCACGTCCCAAGTTGGGGTTAGTGTGTCTGTTCTGGGCTTTCAGAGCCACTCGGGTACACTGTCCAAGGACAATTGGGGGTGACCTGAGGGCAAGGACTCCCCATGCTCCCAGTGCATCGTGAGGACTAGCTTGGTGCCCAGCACTGAGCCCGTGTCCGAGAGAGGCTTGGTGACAGCCAAAGGCCCTACGACATGGAGCCCTGCAGAGTAGCGTCCGTGTTACTAGAACCATAGCAACTGCTGATACCCAACCATCTGAGTCTACCTGGATGGCAGTTGTGCACGGTTCAGCCTGGTGAGGGCTGAACTGTGATCCTTGATCCTGTTGGGCCTTCCAGCTCTGTCCCAGGGGGCAGAACAACACAGGCTGCCAGACCTGGGTTCAGAGCCCTCCCTAGCTGGCACTAGTCGTGTGACGCCTGGCAGGTTACCTAATCTCCGACTCGACTGTGTGCATGTGCGAAGTGGGAGCAGTGACGCAGAACCAAGGGAAGCAGTGAGGGTCCCGTGAGAGGCCAGCGGAGCACTCGGCTTGTGCAGCCGGGGACAGGCAGGGGTGACACCAACATGCGCTTCTCTGGTTAGAGCTCTTTTCAGAGGTGCCTAATGCTCCCCTCAATCACGTTGTTCATCTGTAAAATGGGGAGTCCGTGATGCACACCTAGCAGGTGTCACTCGCTGTCCTCCTTACTGCCATGCCACAGCCCGGGGCGGCCAGGTGCAGCTATCACCGCCATATCAGTCCAGCAGGGAGGGGAGGCAGCTTTGCTTGGTGGGGTTCTGCCTGTGGGGTCAGCATCCGGCCCCAGCGCCTGCTCCTCTTCCTTGCTCTGTGTGGGTCTCTGCGTGGTGTCCCTGACGGAGCCCAGCTTCTGTATTTGTCAGGTGGGGATGTGTGGCATGTTGCAGCTTTCCTGGGGCCTGGGATTCGATCTGAGAGTAGATGCTGACCCAGGTCAGTGGCTATGTTAGGGATGTCACCCACTGCAGGGAAACTAAGGCAGAAGCTGCCCTAGAGCCTGGCTCTGTGGTCCGCATAGCTTAGATAGGATTCATTAGCTGTGAAGCTGATTTTTTTTTTTTGCAGATCTCCACCCTCCCACGAAAATGGGGATATTAGTAACACATGCCTAGTAGGGGTGGCGACAGGTGGGCAAAGTGATGGGCCCCATATGGCAAGTTCTCTGTTCTTGCCCAGGCCCTTCTCTTCCTGCTGCTACTGGTCATTTTAAAGATAGAAGTCTGGGTGGGAACCAGCAGTTAGCGTAATGGCTATGTCGCTGGACTCCCACGTACTCGACCGCGGTTCGTGTCCCGGACCCAGTGGCTTAAAACTCACGCCGGGCCCGTGTGCATGCGTGCCCAAGATCCCGAGAGGAGAATGGAGGAGAAGGGATCGCGGCATGACCATCCCCCCTGGGGGGTGATTTCTCACTTTCTGTCTCTATGTCTCTCTCTGTCTGGCGAGCGCACGCGCCCTACAGTGAAAATCTCTCAAAAAAAAAAAAAAAATAGAAGTCTGGGGGAGCAGGTGGTTAAGGTGCTAGACTCCCACATGGCTGACCACAGTTCAAGTCCCAGACCTGGCAGCTTGAAAATCACACTGTGTGTGTGCGTGTGCGTGTGTGTGCGTGTGCGTGCGTGTGCGTGCGTGCGTGTGCGTGCGTGTGCGTGTGTGTGCGTGTGCATGCGTGTGTACGTGTGCGTGTGTGTGTGTACGTGTGTGTGTGTGTGTGTGCGTGTGTGTGTGTGTGTGCGTGTGTGTGTGTTCATGCCCAAAATCCTGAGAGGAGAATGGAGAAGGGATTGCAGCCTGGCCATTTCCCTAGGGGTGGTTTCTCACTCTCCCTCTCACTGTCTCTCTGTCTCTCCTGCAAGTGCATGTGTTCTATGGAAAAAAACTTTAAAAAAAAAAGAGCTCTCGATTCTGACTCCAGGCCTACTCAGGCCTCACCCCCGAGCCCCGGGAGTCCCTTGGCCTTCTGCCTCCGAATCGCCTGGGCTTTCTCCCGTGTTCTTCAATCTCCAAGCACCACGTGATGCCCCTGCCCTTCAGAGTCTGCCTGCTGGGGGCACTCTCCGCTCTCGCCCCAGAACTCTACCTGGCCCGATCCTAGCCACCCTTCAGAGCTTTACAGAGACTTTCTCTCTCTCTCACACACGTACACACACACATCCTTCCCCAGCAGTGGCTAGCCTGGTGGTTTGCAGCGCAGGCTCTGAGACAGCCTGGATCTAAATCCTCTGCCCCTTCCCGGCTTAGGCTAGCTCGTTGTGTGTTTCATTCGCCTCTTCTGTACAAAAGGGAAGGGTAATCATTTCTCGTAGAGTTTGGGAGAAGATTAAAGGAGAAGATGCAGCAGAGGGAACCCAAACAACACCAGCAGAAAGTGGGCACGCCGTCACTACAAGCAGTCACTACTAGCGTCGTCTTGAATGTCCTGTGCCACCCAGTGCCACCAGTCGTAGCACCCATCCTTGTACTTCAGCCAGCGTCCATCTGTCCTGCCAGCTCACAACTCCCTGCCTGCAGGCATGACAGCTAGCTAGCAGGGTCTCATGTATGGCCCTGTTGCCCTCAGGAGTGTAGACAGGCGATCTCGGGGCCCAGTGTAGCTCTGGTGGAGCCTGATTCTGACATTCAAAGCCCATTGAGCAGTTTGCTAGACCTGACCCAAGTGGTGCCTAGCCTCAGCATGCCCATCTGCAGAATGGGAATGCTCCCCCTCCCACAGAAGTGCCGTGGCCGTGAGACTGGCCCGGTGGCGTGTATAGACGGTTTAGCACGGTCTTAAATGAGATGCTGCTCATGCAACACTGTCTTCTTCCTGCTCCCCTGCTGCAGGCATCGAGCCCGGCCACATCCCCGGCTCCGTGAACATCCCTTTCACAGATTTCCTGACCCAGGAGGGCCTGGAGAAGAGCCCTGAGGAGATCCGCCACCTGTTCCAGGACAAGAAGGTGGACTTGTCCCAGCCCCTGGTGGCCACGTGTGGCTCTGGTGTCACGGCCTGCCATGTGGCACTGGGGGCCTATCTCTGCGGCAAGCCCGACGTGCCCATCTATGACGGCTCCTGGGTGGAGTGGTACATGCGTGCCCAGCCCGAGGAGGTCATCTCCGAGGGCCGGGGGAAGACCCACTGAGGCCGGGCAGGACACGGCGAGCTCAGTGATGCCTAGCACAGCATTGCCAGCCCGGTGGTTCTCGCTGCTTTAACCGAGACAGTGTTCTTTACCCACGCAGGCGGCTTTGGGGTATCATCCCCGAGGCCAGGATTTCTGTGGTCTCTGGGGTTCTGGTGGGCTTCAGGTGGCGGGTGCACTGGGTGGGAAGGCCCTCATGGTGCTGCACTGGGGCCCCTGACTACTTCCGTTTTACTGTGGAGGAAATAAAACAGCTAAGTGTTAAGTGCTGGTAGCTGGGGGGCTGCCTGGGTGTTCTGAGGAGCTGGGGTTCCAGCTTGCCCGGCAGGGGTGCCCAGGAGCCGAAGGGCTTTGGAGAGCCTGCCCTGCCTGTGAACAGTGCTGGGCCCAGAATGCCCCCAGCAGAGCAGCCTCCACCCCACAGCCCTGGGGGAGAAGGGTGCCCTTCTGCCTTCTGAGCTATCCCAAGTGAATTTTACTATGCCACGTCTGGGGTCCCACCCAGGCCTCCACACTAGCACGCACACGCACACACAAACATGTAAACAGTACTTCAAGAAAGAGAGGGTGGGCTAGAATTCACCCACCAGGAAGCTGCCACACTTGGGGGAGGTTCTGGGGAGGGGCTGGATGTGGCCAAGGTGGAGACTCCGGTTCCAAACCTTGGGTGCTCACACCCGGAGACTGCCCTCTGGTACTACCAGAGGTGGGTGGACTCAGGGAGCTGGTCATCTCCGTTCCAGGAGAACCCTTCCTCTGCTTCCCAGCGGAAGGGGCTCCACACTCTCCGTCTTTAGCCTTTGTGCAGAGATGGACACGGGTCTGAGAAGGCCCCAAGGACAGGTCCCTGTCAGCACCTGCGTGACCCCCCCCCAATCTTTCTGGCTTCCGGACACGAGGAGCAGTGGCAGGTCAGTCGTTACCTGGGGAACCCTAGAAGTAGCTTGTTTGGCCCCTCCTTAAAAGCAAAACCAAGACCAGCTGGTGGCATGGTGGTTAAGGTGAGGGATTCCCACATGGCTGACTGGTTCGAGTCCCAGACATGGCTGCTTGTAAATCGTGCCAGGTGCACATGGCTAAAATCCCTAGAGGAGAATGGAAAAGAAGGGATTGTGGTGGCCATCCCCCCAAGGGGTGATTTCTTACTTTCCCTCTCTGTTGTCTCTGGGGCAAAAACCCTAAAATAAATGGGAATAAAACAACCAGAGATGGGCAGTGACTTGCCAGGTCACACGATGAATGCACAGCAGAGCCTGTACCCATCCAGGGTCCTGGTTGGGTGGAGTGTCTCCCCTGAGCCTACGCCAGCAGCCCCCCACAATGCAGAGGTGTTCCCTGAGTCCACAGGGAGAGGGAGGAGCCAGCAGCACAGAATCTTGGTTTTACAGATAAGAGCTCCGAAGACCCTCCCACTCCGAGCCCGTTTCCCGCCTGTAAAGTGGGGGTCGTGTGTGCAACAGTCCCCTCATATACACGATTTCACTTTCTGTGGTTTTACTTACCTGCACTCAAACGTGGTCCAAATACATTAAATAAAGAATTCCAGAAGTAGAGGCCAGCCGGTGGTATGGTGGCTTAGGTGGCGGGATCCCACATAGCCCACTGTGTGGCTTGAGTCCCCGACCTGGTGGCTTGGAGAAAAAAAAAACAAAAACCAAGGGCCTGCAGGGGCCAGCAGATGGCATAGCAGTTAGGTTGCTGGACTCCCACATGGCTGACCGTGGTTTGCGTCCTAGACCTGGTGGCTTGGAACATGCCAGGCATGTGTGCGTGTGCCCAAGATCCCTGGAGGAGAAGGAACTGCAGTGTGGCCATCCCTCCAGGGGGTGATTTCTCTTTTCCTCTCACTCTCTGTCTCTCTCCCTGGTGAGTTCATGTGCCCTAAGTCAAAAACCTTTACAAAACAAACAACAACAAAAAACTACCAGACAAGTGTGTACACGTGTACCCAAAATCCCAAGAGAAGAATGGAGAAGGGATTGCAGCATGATCATCCCCTCTGGTGGGTGATTTCTCACTTTGTCTCCTCTCCCCCCCTCCACTGAGTGTGCACACCCCAAGTAGCAACTTTAAAAAGAATTCCAGAAATAAGCAATGCATAGGCTTTGAGTTGCATGCTGTTGCGGAGTGAAGTCTCCGTCCCACTCTGTCCTCCCCAGGAAGTGAACAGCGCTTTCTGCAAGCGCGTCTGCGAGGTCTACACTACCACTTATTAGCCGCTTAGTATCCACCTCGGTTACCAGGTTGAAAACAGCATGTATGAGTAGAGGGCTTGGGGCAGTCCCAGGCTTCAGGCATCCCTAGAGGTCTTGGGAGGGATCCTCCGTGATAAGGGGGGTACTGTACCTTGGCGAGACCTGGCCGCAGCCCGGCTGCTCACTCTTCCCATCGTGGGAGGGATAGTTCTCGGTTGTGGGGGGCTGTTCCATGTCATGTACAGTACGCTTGGCATTTCTGGCCTCGGCCCCCCCAAAGCTGGTAGCACCACTCTTTACAACAACCAAAATTATGTCCAGTATGGCCAAGTGTCCCCTGGAGGACAAAAAGCACCCCAAATGGGGAACCACCGTTCTGGGGCAAATAGCGCAGTTGCCCACGGCAGACAGGAAGGGCACAGACAGGGATGCCTGACTCCCCACGGGAAGCCGTTCCCCTGGAGGTGGCACTGCGAGCTTTAGAAACCCTCCCCCTGGGACCAGCAGTTAGCGTAATGGCTATGTCGCTGGGCTCCCACATAGTCGATCGTGGTTCGCTTCCCAGACCTGGTGGCTTAAAACTCATGCCAGGCGCGTGTGCATGCGTGCCCAAGATCCCGAGAGGAGAATGGAGGAGAAGGGATTGCGGCGTGGCCATCCCCCCTGGGGGTGACTTCTTGCTTTCTATCTCTGTCTGTCTGTCTGGCGAGCGCACGCGCCCTATAGCAAAAACCTCTAAAAATAAAACAAACAAACAAAACAAAACAACAAAAAAAAAAAACTCTCTCCCTTTCGCGCTGGTCTCAGACAAGCCTCATTGGTTTCCTCCCTGGAGCGTCTACCGCTTCCAGGAGATGGCTTGTCTGAAGCCCACCTGAGGTTCCCGTCTGGCTTCCGGTCCCAGCTGCTCCACACAGGACTGGCTGAGCCGGGCCTTGCTCGGAAGCCTTTCTAGGGCTTGTTTTCCTCATTTAAAATGGCACAGGGGCTGCGCTGGGGCTCAGGGGCCATGCTGGGGTGCAGTGGTGGGGTGGTCTGGGGATGATCTGTGGCCTGTTTGTATTGGAGCGCTCCCTGAGTGCTGGCGGAAGCTGGGGCGGGTATCTGCACCCAGACGCTGCTGGGGTCTCTCTCCATCAGTCTCGCTTACGGAAGAGCTAGAACCGGAATATGAAACGTGTAGACCGAACTTCCCTTGAGCGGCAGGAGCGTGAAATGCGACGAGCCGTCCAGTTAGCTGGGGCCACGCAGTGGAGGAGAGTACTACCTGATCTCTGAGAGCCTGTTACTCGTTCACAGAAGTGCTCCCTGGGCTCGGGCTTTGAGGAGGAAAAACAAATGCAAGCATCGTGTCCGGCTCACAAAGCTCCCGAGTCAGAAGCGGTCCTCGGCGCCTCGTTCCAGAGAGAGGCGAGCGCTGGGACGTGAGCTATTTTACCAGAGACTCATTTTGCAGGTGGGAAAACAAGCTCAGAGAGGCAGTGTGATTTGCCTCAGGGCACACAGGGAGTTTGGGCCGGATAAAGGAGATCTAAACAGTACCATTCTGGGGGGCACGAGCTTGGACTTAACTCCTTTGCGGGAGTTGGCCAGGAATGACCCTGGCGGCCACCGAACTCCGCCTTGCCTCCTTCCAGTCTGAATGTCCAGAATGGACCACAGGGGCCTGGCCTGTGCCAGAGCCCGCCCCAGCCCGCCCCTCCCCACCACGCGTTCCAGGCAGGAACTTGCAACACTGGACAATGAGGGTGAGGACATTTCTGTGCACTCGGCAAATATTTGCTGAGCATCCCCGCTGTGTCAGGGACAGCTGTAAGTGCGTTTCCTGACCTTGCCTCACCAGCTGCTCTGGAATGTTCCATGCCCTGCAAGTTACCTTGAGGATCAGAGCCCAAAGCCCCCCCGCCCCCCCGCACAGTGGGCTGAACAATGGATTGACGCAATTTGGTTCCGGTGCTGTGGCATCGGCTTGCACCAGGCCCAGAAAGTCCACCTTCCGCAGCCCTCCTTCTTACCTGGGAAGTGGGTACAGGTGGACAATGGTTAAGTCGCTGGACTCCCACACGTGGCTGACTAGATCCAGGACATTGAGTTCTGGATCTAGTGACTTGAAACTCACACCAGGCGTGCGTGCAAGCATGTCCGAAATCCTGAGAGAAGGGAGAAGGGATTGCAGTGTGGCCATCCCTCTTCTCACTGTCTCTCTCTCTGTCTCTCCAATAAGTGCATGCACCCTATAGGAAAAAAATCTCTAAAAAAACAAACAAACAAACAAACAAAGGTGCAGACTTGGTCCTGCTGCACAAGGCGGGGGAGCTCAGTTCAGGGAGAGCTCAGCGAGGTGAGGCCACTCCCACCAGGAGCACCCCAGCTTCCTCACTGGCGCTTTGTCCTTAACTCGTGGAGAATGAGTCACTTGGAGGGAAGTGGGATTCTCAAGTTAACTGAAAGAAGGGATTATGAGGTGTCCATCCTCCATGGGTGGTGCGCTCTCTCTCGCTCTCTCTCTCTCTCTCTCTCCCCTCCCAGCACCTGTGGACTGTTCACAGTCCACATTACCCAGCCTCTCCCTCGGCTGCTCCCTGTGGGCGTGCTCTCTGCACTGCCACTTACTCCAGTGGCTTACATCGCGGCCTCCAGCAAGTCACTCCTGAACTCAGAGCCCCACGCCCACTGCCTGCTGGCCTCAGCCCTGCCCCTCTGCCCATGTCTCCCATCTCAGTGTGCAAGCCCACCTCCATGCCCAGACCTGGCAGTGGGTTGTAAGAGACTCTGAAGGCCCTTACCCAAGCTGATCAGCCCCAAGGCCTACAGATCACTTCCTCTATCCTCCCTGCTTTCGGCCAGCCCCCACTCCATGCCCATGACACACAGTACAGCCTGGTTCCTCCATCAATCCCAGTGCACACCTTCCGGGACAGACCCTGTGCCAGGATCTGGAGGTAGAGGGGGTGGGCGAAGACAGACCGTGCAGCTGTATCGGCCAGTGGGCGGGGATGGACACAGACCCTGGCAGGAGCGTGGCGAGGTCTGAGGCAGAAACAGAGAACAGGACAGGGTTTGAGAGGTTGTAGTCCCT